TATCTATCTATCTATCTATCTATCTATCTATCTATCTATCTATCTATCTTTTCTGAGGTTTTTGCGGGTATTTGTATATGGATCTTTGGTTATTCGGGTTTTCTCCCGCGTAAAATTGGAAGTATTTTGGCAACGTTTCGACGAAATCTCATTCATCATCTTCAGGCTTGTGTCTTTGGCTTTGTGCTTCTTGGAGTAATGTGAGCTTGCAGCTGTTTTTTCTTTTAACTGCCAGTGGGAGTGCAACTTGACTGGGTGGGGGCTTGGCTGTGTTCTGATTGGGTGGGGGTGTGTTCTCATTGGTTGGGGGGCTGGCTGTGATCTGATTGGTTGGGGGGTTAGCTGTGTTCTGATTGGCTGGGGGTGTGTTCTGTTCAGGTAGGGGCTTGGCTGTGTGTATATGTTCCAGGATCACTCTGGAATGCCAGATGACTTACCCTCTGGAAACAAATATTGTGGGGGTAAAACACCTCTAACACCCCTTGTGGCATTTCCCCTAAAATGGCTTCTACTGTACAGCACAGTGGACTTGCCATAGTAACAGCTTCACAGTACTCCACAAGGGGGCTCCCTCTCAACCCTCCAAGGAAATGTCAGGCGATTGGCCGAGTGCAATAAAAAAAATGAAACACCAGCATAGATAAGAAACTCCTGAGGAGAGGAATAGAAGATTTGTGACGCTGCGCAACAGACAGTACAACAGGACTGGGATAAATAAATACCCAGGCAACAGGTATATAATAATAATTAATATAATATAATATTATTATGTTATAATAATATAATAGTAAATACTCAGGCAACGCTGGTTTATCCACTAGTTTTGAATAAACAATAAATCAAGCTACCTTCAATGTACTTTGGTACAATTGTCTAAGAAGCATGGGAAAGCCAGTAAAAGTTGGTCATTTTATTGGAGAATTGTTAAAGCTGTGCTAATAAAGCTAGCATTACAACAGTGGATGTAATTACTGGGTCACAAGGATCATGAGGGAGATTTCAGCTAAGTTAACGTAAGCAGTAAAATTAAGCAGAAGAGTTGGGTTGTCAGTTGCTTCATTCTCATAGCCCAAAGCCAGAATGTGGTTTTGTGAATTGCAGTGAATCCAGCCCTAGGGTTTTGTCAAGCCATGATTCATGGCTTAGTGTATCAATTGTGATTTTGCAATCTTTGCCGTAGCTAAGTGTGATATAAGATTTCAGCAACTTTGGAGTTGCTAAACTGTGTGTTTAACCTTTGTATGAAGTCATCTAACAGTGACATATATAGCAACTCATAAGTGTCTACAGAGATTCTCAATCATCCAGGTCATGGTTGTCTCAAATATGCTTTTCCAAAAGGCAACTGGACTTTCTTGGGTTTGTTTCCTTTGGAAATGTTTCGCTTCTCATCCAAGAAGGGAAGAAACTTCTTGTCAACCCCAAAATTGACATATGTATAGCCATTTTATTTAGCCCTATTATATATTCCTTTTCTTTCTTTCTTTTTGCTGGTGGGGGGAGGGGTGTTGGGCTTGCCACATTCCTAAGGTGGGAGGAGTGGAGTGAGGTTTTTTTAGGCTAGGTGATTTTTCCTTCCCATGGGAAATGAAACTGACCTGGCTGAAACCTGGAGGTGGAGGTTGATGACACCAAGCAACGTTGATTTACTTCTATTGGGGAATGTGACTTTTGGGGACTATTTCTAATTTCCAATATTATGTGGTGTAATTCCGGGTTGTGTCAGATCCAGAATTAAAACAGACTTTGCCAATTTGATGCTTTCCTAAATAAAAGAGATTGTTTGGAAGATGGACTTTGTTCTTTTCTTTTTAAATGGATTTCATCACTTGGAAACCTGGATGACAAGCTAAATGTTTTCAAAGGGAAAAAAATGAAGGAAATCCAATCGCCTTTTGGAAAAGCACACTTGGGATAGCAATTCATACTTAACAAATCCTAGTTTAGCATAATGCCACTCACTGGCTTAGTCTTTCTTGACAGCAGAGCTATAGAGTCTTGCAAAGTGTGCCCTCATATAGGTAGTTTCCAGACTGGTCCGGAACAGCCCTTCACTCCATCTCCTGCTGCTGGAGAAAGCAGATTTCTTGGCCACAGCAGATTCTGTTTCTAAGGGTGGGCTTTGATGAGGGGTGAGAGGCTCATCGAGATTGAGGAAGGGAAGAGGATAATGTCCCCGACTAGACCGTCTTTCTTGAAGCTTCTTGCTCTCAGGAGTAACAAACTGGACGCCATCTTGTTCTTGGCAAGATTCTGGAGAACCCATCCCCATTGTTTCCTCTTCTTTCAGCAAAACCCTTGGGAAGCTGAACTAGTGAGTGGAAAGTGAGAGAGAGAAAGAAAGAAAGAAGAAAGAAAGAGAGGAAGAGGGGGAGAGAGATCCCTGGTGATTTAAAGAATTATTTTCTCTTCCCAAAATCTATGTTTTCCACCCAACTTGAGGTCATACTATCAATAACATTGGCATTTCCTGGACTTTGATACAACTCAAGGTCCCCTGGTTTTTGTCCTTCGGGAAAGTTGTTTTCTATTCTTGGTTGGTAGGGAGTTCAAAGAATGACTGACCTATGTACGTTTGCTTGTCTGGACTTCCCCCGAGTGTTTCCTTTGGGAAAAGAAAGAAGAAGAATGGCTGATTTTGCTTAATCTGCTTGACTAAAATTGTATACATTGTGGGAACTTTAATCATAAGGTGAATCAGACCATCGTGTTGAGTCATCCTTTTCTTTAAGCCTCTGAGGCATAACACAGACATTGTATTTGGTTCCTTTTCAACAAAGATGTAGTATGTGGCATGAACTCAGACACCAACTGCCAAACTCAGTCAAAAATAGCCATTGTTAATAGTTGTTGGGGTGTCAGCTTAAGCAGCTGACACCCAACAGCTAACTTGCTTGTCTGCTCTAGTCTAGGATCCTGACGGGCAAAGGGTAACAGTTGATTGCATGTATTTTTCATCAGGTGGGACACTCAAGGATTATTTAGTTCAGTTCATGGTTAGTTCCTGGATGAAAGTTATTGTGGACTAGATGAACGTTAGGGATTAAAAACAGCTCACAGCTGAGATGTAGGCATGTGTTGCTAGATTTAGTTCTCAATAACTCAAGGTGAGATACTCCTGTCTGAAATGTTGACAGTTGTGACTTAAATTCTAGGCAAGATTCCTTCCTTTGCAGCCAAGTGGTAAAAAAGAGAAGAAATTGTGACAACGGCTAAGAAAGAAGTAGCATTCTATTCTATTCTATTCTATTCTATTCTATTCTATTCTATTCTAT